AGTTGTTTATAGTTAAGCAGCCAAAGTAAAGTCAAGATTTTACAGTTGTTTATAGTTAAGCAGCCAAAGTAAAGTCAAGATTTTACAGTTGTTTATAGTTAAGCAGCCAAAGTAAAGTCAAGATTTTACAGTTGTTTAGTTAAGCAGCCAAAGTAAAGTCAAGATTTTACAGTTGTTTTAGTTAAGCAGCTAAAGTAAAGTCAAGATTTTACAGAGCTGTGTATAGTTAAGCAGCCAAAGTAAAGTCAAGATTTTACAGTTGTTTATAGAGACCCATGTGATAGATTGCCCTTGAAAAGCTCCTTAAATTCTCATTAATGTGCCCAAACCTAACATTTAGCTCTTACCAGCAGAAGATGTAAAGTTCAGTAGTATGTTGTATAATGTCTGTATATCACAAGTAACTGCTTTCTCTGTCATCCAGAGAAATACTATTATGTTGGAAGACTGCTAAGGCCTGGTGAAGAACCAACCGATTACTCGGATGACGAGGAGACTAGTCAGGACCAAAGTTTTAAAGAAGGGGAGAAGTCAGATAAGGAAAATTGTGAAGAAAAATCCAAAGATGAATAAGTACGCGAACGAAATAAAAACTGTGAAGAAATCTTCTTACCTCTATAGATAATGCTGTATTTGGTCCAGTCTTTTGCAGGGTGAAATAAGTTTTTAAATGAGTTGCAATCTTGAGGAATGTACAATAGATGAAAAAACATTATTACAGGGGAATATTTTGGTGTCTCTTGTTTATTCTTATATATTATGTTGTTATTAGCACCACGTGTTTCTTACTAAATTTTACATGCATTGAAGAAATATGTTGCAGGTTAATTATTGTAATTTTGATTGAATTAATTTCAATAGTGAATATGAACTTAATTTACCAGTACTTATTAAAACGAAAGTACCAATATGGAATGTTTTTAAAAGAGATCCTTCGCTTGGCTGTAAACATTGCTTTCTTCATTGAGTGTGATGCAGATGGCAGCAAAATAACAAACCATTTTAAAGAACTAATAAGTTGAGAAAAGGAAGTCATTTCATGTCTATTTGTATAAATAGTTATTTTGCAGTTTTTGTGTGTGTGTATGTTTTGTAAAATGAAATTTGGTGTAGGATATATATTCGTGTCAACCGCTCTGTTGTTCTTTACGAGTTTGGTATATTTGTTTATTCATACTATAGCTGAATAAGACAGACTCATCTGGAAATTACTTTTTTGTTTATTAAACTGAGCATTAGATGTAAAATTTTTATTATTTGTTCAATGAATTTTTTAATGTCGAAAGGATTTTGAATTTGACATTAAAAAACCAAACGAGGTTAGTGCATTCGTAAATTAAGAACCATTGTCCGGCAATATCGGCCGAATTTGATGTAATGGTATTAATATGACTTGCCAGATTCTCAAAAATTATATGTATTAAAGCATATTGTATCATTATTTCAAAAAGTTTTGTTCTGAGTGATTATCAGAACTTGAAAAATTAAAACTCACATATACCGATTTGTGTTATCCTGCCATTTTGCGTGATTTTGTACAACTTGAAAACATCAACCCAATATAGGTATTCTCTAACCTCACACAAGCAGATATATAGCACTACATCTATAACAAATATTAGCTTTTAATAGAATGGTTCCGAGTTTTTCTTTCAAGTACAGACTTTTAGCTCCATCTCTTGACAGATTTAAGATCTAATTACAACCGCGGCTATTAAGGACACCATTCTTGGTGTCTGATACAAGTCAACGCTTTGTCACTCTCCGTATGTGTATATACAAGTTTACTTAACAGAAAGATCCATTCAAGAATGTGGATTTTATTATAAACACGTGATAACAAATTCCCACGCAACTTCGATGTGTCACTTGATGCATTTAATTGAATATTCAAGTGAACTGTCAAAAAAGATAACTACTTTAACATTACATACTTGGTAGATGGCAGTACTGTAGCAATGTGCTGGATTTTTAAACAGGTTCCTGAATGTGTACAGTGCTACAATGTTGGTTGTCCTTGTGTACAGTGCTACAGTGTTGGTTGTCCTTGTGTACAGTGCTACAGTGTTGGTTGTCCTTGACTCGGTATCATCTGATTTTAATTTTTGTCTAAGGTCATACAGAAGTAACCTGAAGGTTATACAGAAGTAACCTGCACATTCTACAAGAACATAGTTAACGGTGTTGTGTAGGATGATGTGTCACGGAAAGGAGACGTCAGTTGCAGTACCATGTGTAGGATGATATGTCACGGAAAGGAGGCATCATTTGCAGTACCATGTGTAGGATGATATGTCACGGAAAGGAGACATCAGTTGCAGTACCATGTGTAGGATGATATGTCATGGAAAGGAGACATCATTTGCAGTACCATGTGTAGGATGATATGTCTTGGAAAGGAGACATCAGTTGTAGTACCATGTGTAGGATGATATGTCATGGAAAGGAGACATCATTTGCAGTACCATGTGTAGGATGATATGTCTTGAAAGGGAGACATCATTTGCAGTACCATGTGTAGGATGATATGTCATGTAAAGGAGACGTCAGTTGCAGTACCATGTGTAGGATGATATGTCACGGAAAGGTGGCATCATTTGCAGTACCATGTGTAGGATGATATGTCACGGAAAGGAGACATCAGTTGCAGTACCATGTGTAGGATGATATGTCACGGAAAGGAGACATCATTTATGGTACCATGTGTAGGATGATATGTCTTGGAAAGGAGACATCAGTTGCAGTACCATGTGTAGGACGATATGTCATGGAAAGGAAACATCAGTTGCAGTACCATGTGTAGGATGATATGTCATGGAAAGGAGACATCATTTACAGTACCATGTGTAGGATGATATGTCACGGAAAGGAGACATCAGTTGCAGTACCATGTGTAGGATGATATGTCACGGAAAGGAGACATCAGTTGCAGTACCATGTGTAGGATGATATGTCATGGAAAGGAAACATCAGTTGCAGTACCATATGTAGGATGATATGTTATGGAAAGGAGACCAGTTGCAGTACCATGTGTAGGATGATATGTCACGGAAAGGAGACGTCAGTTGCAGTACCATGTGTAGGATGATATGTCATGGAAAGGAAACATCATTTGCAGTACCATGTGTAGGATGATGTGTCACGGAAAGGAGACCAGTTGCAGTACCATGTGTAGGATGATATGTCATGGAAAGGAGACGTCAGTTGCAGTACCATGTGTAGGATGATATGTTTTGGAAGGGAGACATCAATTGCAGTACCATGTGTAGGATGATATGTCACTGAAAGAAGACATCAGTTTCAGTACCATGTGTAGGATGATATGTCACGGAAAGGAGACGTCAGTTTCAGTACCATGTGTAGGATGATGTCTTGGAAAGGAGACACCAGTTGCAGTACCATGTGTAGGATAATATGTCACTGAAAGGAGACATCAGTTGCTGTACCATGTGTAGGATGATATGTCACGGAACAAGATACGTCACTTGCAGTACCACAAGTCTGTGTTGCAGCATTGTCAAGTTTTGTGCTATTCACGTGTCGTATGAATTATTACAGATACCAAATGTAGGATGTACGAAAAAAAAGTCACACTATATGTACACGTTTTATCAAAAGTCTGATGTGTGGGTAGATTCTGTGGAAGATAAAGTGGGTGTTTAAGCACATTTTCATCATTTCATGATTCATACAAGTATTTTTATAAAACAGAAGAACACAACTGTAATCTTCATTTTAAAGATGACGAATTTTTACAGGTTATCTCTTGGCTACAGGAAACACCCCTATGTTACTTGAAAACTTTCTACTTTAGGTTCAGAATTGTTTGATAATTAATCTTACAAAAAAAAAGCTGTAAATAAAAATAAGTAATGTTGGAAAAATTAGTAAAACTACTTGCTCAAAACATTCTTTTCATATAATATATAAACCATCACCAGTCACCCAATTAATAAGTGTGCTCTTTCTGACAACTGCACAACAAGTAAAGCAAATGTTGACCCCCGAGAAATATATTTCGGGTGGTAAAGAATAAACAATTATTCATAAAAAAATTTACTTTATTTGTTAGAAATACAAACATGTATTTACACATAAAATTGGTCAGTGTCTAAAAAGCTAAATATTTTATATCTTTCTTTGCAATGAAATCATTAACTAGACACTTGAATTACTGTATATAAGATAATTTGGTGAATATACGAAGTTCAAACTAAAACTAACGCTGAAGTATGACTTGTGAAATAACGTTTGGTTACACTGCAATAGTTATGCTCAACCAGCTGTGTTTCTTGGATTATTTTTATTTGGGAGGTACAGGTAGTCTGAAGAGGGGGAGAGAAAAAATTGACACTTCTGTGTCATTTGGAGTCACAATATAGAGAATTTAAAGACTACCTCAACAAAGGTTGTAAATCATTTAAACAAAAATGGACAGAACCTTTTTTTTGCAAGAGAAACAGTTTTCATAAATGGAAAATGATTCCATAATTTGTGTTGCACCTTCATACACTTGTTTCTAATGAATAAATAATACTTATCATACATGAAAAATAAATGTAATATCCTGTAAAGATCAACTTCAAAAATCCACCACGAAGATCATTGTCAGGAAACATGTTTTGAAAGGTTTGAGAACTTTAATAGACAACAAGAAAAGGGGTCAATGTTTTGGTTTCAATTCCAGGACCTTCTCCAGTATGGAAGCTGAAACGTTGTCTTCCTTTCTTTCAACAGGCAGTTGTAGTCCATTAAAGTTCTCAAATGTAAGATGTCTATTGTTACACAAAAAAAACAAGAACCACTGAATTTTCACATGTGAAGCATTATTTAAGAACCAATTAAAGTGTTCGAATGAAAGAATACTAACGTAAGATTAGCTTAATAACTCACATGATTTATAAACCAATATCATAATGTATGTAGTTAACCTCAGTCAAGGTTCTTTTATTGACTTTTGAATTAATATATTGATAAGACTTTTTTCTTAGACAAATGGTCAACAAATATACATATTTAATTTGATAATAGATAATCAAGTAACATGTAATCAACTTATAGATAAACAAGAATACAGTGTGCAGAAAAAATTACCATATGGTTGATACCAATGAAATATTATGAAGAGAATTTCAATTATTGTTTCGTTCAGGGCAAGACTTTAGAACTTAAACTGTTTTATATAAAACAACTGTATAGACACTTTTATCCAAACCCATATAAGCACACAATGAATATAAAAATAGCAAGACAAGCATAGATTAGAAAGATACGTCACTACATTGGTACTTCTCAATAGAGTTGAAGCTTCTTTCCACACGTCTCAATGACGGAATGTCTTTGAGTAAGAACACTTCTCAAAACTAAAATCGAGTATCTTTTGGCCAAAAAGAACAATCAATACGTTATGCATTCTTTAAAATTTATTTCAGTATTTTATGACAGCCAATTTTGATAATTTCCATTTGTGTACCAATGAATCACAATAGCATACTGTAAATATACATAAAATGTTTATCACTTATTAACCAACTCATTCATTCCAAGTAATTAGTTTTTTCCCCCACATTCACAATAATTTACTGTTTTAGCAAGATTAAAATTATTTCACATTATAAAGTGGAACTAGAGGTTGGATTAAATGTCTTAAGAAATCATATGGTTAACTTATATTCACTCAAAATTATCAACAGTTCCACTATCATACGTTACTCTCAAACTTAAATATCAAAGGACATGTTTGTTTAATAATTTTATTGAATAGTACTGGAATAAAGGCGGCTAAGATGATATAAAAATCACAGGGCTTATTTAGATATTTTTAATGATGAAGAAACAAAATTTTGTCCTTCTTACAATGCTTTTAAAGCTAACCGTCTGCTTTAAATTTGTTGTTTTTAAAAGTGAGTTAAATATACGTACTACAAGTGTTTGAAAGGATAGTAGAATATACATTAATGGAATGCAGTGTGCCTTGATAGCTAGAAAGAGAACAGTGAATGTTATATTCATAGCCAGTAAGCTGCAGTAAAAGTTTTTATAGGGGAACGAGAAGCTGTATTGGTGCTTTGTGAATTTGGAAGAAACATACAGTAGGTTGCCACAAGACATAATTTATTGGTATCTCAGGAAGAAGGGAGTCCTAGAGAAGTTGGTGAGGATAGTGAAAACATTGTAAGATAGAGCAAAAACAACAGTGACAATACAAGGAAGAACTAAAGAGTCTGTACCAAGGATCGGCTTTAAATCCTTTTCTGTTTGTTACTATTTCAAGTGAGGAGGCAAAGAAAGGAATGTTTGGGACCTCGTTTGTGGATAATTTAATTATCACAGCCAAGATAGAATAAAGGTTATAGGATGTGTCAGGTTAAAATCCAGAGAGATAGGTAGGTTAAAGGTAAATGTTAGGCAGCAAAGGGGGAAAACAGAAATAACTTTGACGTAAGACAGTCTAATAAATATAGGTATCTAGACTTCAACATTAGAATAGATGGAGGCCGTAAAGTAGAAGTAATGGAAAGAGTAAGAGCTGGACGGAATAAATGAAAGGAAGTCTCGGAGTGATTCTTGACAAGAAAATACTGCTGACGGTCAAGAGCTATAAAACAACACTCAGATCAGTTCTGCTTTCTGGAGCATCACCTTGGGCCAAAAGAAAGAGGAAAGTATTCTAGAGAGAACTGAGGTGAGAATGTTAAGATGGATGCTAGGAATATCTTTGAGAGAAAGAATAATAAGTAATGAGATCAGGAAAAAAAAGTTGGAATCTGTACAATCACAGAAAATGCATGAGAATTAATAGTAAGATGTAGAAGGATGTGCAGTGAGATGAGAACTGGAAATGTCAGTGGAGGAGCAAAGATGGAGAGGTGTGGTGGACAGTCAGAAGAAGAACAATACTTGCCAATGTTTTATATGTGGGAACATAAAAACAAACTTGTACTGCAAATGTTTCAAAGAATACATGTTAAATTAAAATCTGCACTGCAGCTACAAAATGTTAAATTTTATGCTTTTTATTGACATGAAAAGTAAGCTTATGATCTTGGCACTTATTCATAAAATACACAGTTGTTTCTTCAACACAATTTATTTTAAAATACATGTGCAACATGAAACTACTCATAATATACAAGTAACAACTAATTCAAACTTTAACAGGTGTAAGAGAATTGTAAAGTTTTGTAACTGCCGTTGTTACCATCTGTTGTAACACTTCATCTTCCTCGCATTTTACTTCTTGATTCCGAAGATTGATGCTGACACTCTTCCCATCCACAGTAACAAACAATCTGTCTCCTTTCACAATTTTACTAACTGCCTCATCTCCAAACATGTCGGCTAACATCTCCATCAAGCACTCGGTAAAATGCATCTTGTCAAGCTTCATAATTGGTGGAATGACTTTTGTGGAAATGCCAGCACTGTCGGCTTTAAGAATGACCGTAACGACAGCATCGGCATACATGTCATTGACGGGGCTGGCATTCCATTCAAGAGTCACCATGTCAACTCCCTGAATGACAAGAATTTTCCTAAAGACCTTAAGAGCCTTCTTCCCTTGAATGTCAATGGCTTCCACATCTCCAGAGAGTTGGTTCAAGAAAAAGTGTAATAACTGTAAGGTGCCAGTGTAGTGCAAACTCAGCCTCTGACTGACGGTACTTCTAACCATATCAGTGTATTTTGACAAGTCTGATGGAGCAAGCAAGTGGTAACTAAAGTTTCTCTTCACAAGAACTCCAGACAGTCTGTGGCCTTGCTGAGGTGGATCGACTGCAAGAGATCCCATAACCTTAGCTGTCTTCTCACCACGAAAGTACAGTTCAACACTCTGGGTATTTCTTGGGTTATGCACCTCAATGTTAGTTTCCACGTCATCCTCATATTCTCGAATGATGGCAGACTTCAACCTTCCCATTTCATTCTGCTCTCCATGTACAAGTATAAGATGTGGAGGTTTCATTGCACGGATGAATTCACTGGTTTGTTGATAATCTGTGTGAGCTGAAAAGGAGATATAGTCCACCGACATCTTGAGTTGTAATTTTTGACCAGTCATAGTAGTAATCTCTTCTGGTTCTGAAAGAATGTGTTTGGCCAATGTTCCTTCAACACAATATCCTGCAATGATAACACCATTCTTGGGATCAGTGCACCAACTTTCAAACAATTCCCTGGAGAGACCACTCTGCATCATGCCAGGGCTCGCCATCACAACGCACGGCCCAACGTCCTCGAAGTGATCGATGCTTTTCAGGTTTGATATGTGTTTAAACACAAATGGGTTACTGATGGCTATCTGACGGCGAATGCGCTCGTTCATGGCATTAACATAGGTCTGATATACCGCCATGCATTTTTTGGCTAAAGATGAAGCATAGTATATAGGAATATCATGGAGTTCAGGATGGTTATTCCAATACTCGTCTAAGATCAGTAACAACTCTTGAGCTCTTCCGAGGGCAAACACTGGGATCAAGCACCTTCCTCCACGATTTACTATATCATGTACAAGTCCTGTGAACCTTGCTTCACGTTCCTCTCTTTTTTCATGAATGTGAGTACCGTAGGTAGATTCTATAATCAACACATCTGGGTGGACTCCTGGAATCTCTGCAGCCATAAGATGCCTATCTTCCTGCCGTGAGAAGTCGCCCGTGTAAAGAACTTTTACTCCTGCAATTTCTATCATGAACATTGCAGCTCCAAGCACATGTCCAGCATTATAACACCAAAATCGCACACCACTCACTTCCTTCTCTTCGTGAAAATTAATAGTTTCTATTTTCTCCATACTTGCTTCTAAATCAGCTTCTGAGTACAGCATTTGTTCAGTACCGATATTACTAACCTTGATATAATCCGCTAGGAGCCAACGGTATATGGCTTTGGTTGCATGTGTCATGAAACATCTACCTTTAAATGTAGTTTTTTGTAAAAACCATGGCAATGCGCCACAGTGGTCCAAATGAAAGTGGCTCACCAGTAACAAATCTACCTCATCTGCTTCAATCAGGTCCACAAAAGGTAGGGCGTCCATACCTGACAAACCCGGATGAATACCACAGTCCATCATTATTCGTTTTCCTTTGAATTCCAGAATCACACATGATCTTCCTACTTCCTGTCCAGCTCCCAAAGGTCTAATAACCAGCAAATCACTTTCTTCTGGAGGCACTTGACTATCCGCTTTTCGTTTAGAAACGGTAGCCATTTTTGCCGCAAGTACTTATGCTGCCCTCTTTAGTGTAAAAATTATCACTATAAAATTGTAAATAAATTATATATATATATATATCTATATATTATATAAGGTTAGATTTTTATAATAACTAAGATATATTCGAATACAAATATTTTAGAATATTTACATAAAATATATCAGTGTCTTAGAATAAATGTACTGACTCTTGAATTTTAATCCAGTTTGAGGAAATTTTCACACATACACATAAATTCAAAACATTTCCTTGGTATCACTGCTGTGATGACTATGAAATGCAGTTCCTTCAGTGTTCATAAATGTAAATGAGTTATTACTTATTACCAGAACTCACAAACATAAAAACATATATTTAAAGTTTTTCACAGAAGAAATAAAAAGTCTTCATTATTATCTTTATTTTGTTTTGTGGAATGCTTAATTAACTATATTTTATAAATGAAACAGTATGGCATTTATCATCACTTATATGGATTTTCTGTGACGTGTTAGTTAAAACGCTTTATATTATTTAAGTACTTACTGTAATATAAATTACTTATAATAACTAAAAACGTGACAAAGAAACACATGCTCCATAGTTAAATTGAATAAAATATACTGATAACAATTTCTTTAACAGCCTTAACCACGTAACGTGAGAGTTTAGTTGCGATGTTTGTTCGATTCAACTTTACCACTGGAAACAAAATAAAAACAGCACATAGTAGATCTTCTAGACTTAATAATGATTCAAATTTCGTAATCAGCGCTTCACTATAATTTTGTTTATTGCTTTGCAGTTAAGAACATCAAACGCTGGGCCATTTTTTCCACCGATTTGCTTGTCAAAGTATACTGGAATAATTTCATATGATCAGTGTTTGTTTTTTCTTTATTAGGTCAAAGTCCTCTCTGTGTCTTTAGAGGACGCTAGCTACACGTAGCTGTCCATAATTTTGAAGTATCAAACTAACAAAAATGCAGTTAGTGAACACAAACTTTTTAATAATTATTACAAAATAATGTTCATTAGTGTTAAAAATTATAGATATTTGTTCAGTGTTCTGAGATAGAAAGATCAACTTCAGGTTTGTCTCAGCTCACCCGGTTTATACTTGAACAAATTAAAAAAAACAGAGAGAAAAATATGGTAAATTAAATGATTATTAGAGAACTATTAAGGTAAATTAAATAATTATTAAAGAACTATTAAAGTGAGATTTTTTAGTTCTATTTAACACTATTCAACATCATTTCGTAATAATTATTAAAAGGGTAGAGATTGGGAGTCTACAAAAGTAGAAATAGAGTGGTTTATTTGTACTACAAGGTTATTCTTATATCTAAATACAACTGGCTGCAGATAGTGAAAAGCTGTAGGAATTGAGACGTTGTGGGTTATGGTAAATCCCACTATTCGTTGGTAAAGAGTAGCCCAAGAATTGGTGAATGCTGTTGTTTAGCTGCCTTCCCTCTTGTCTAACACTTCAAAATTAAGGACAAGTAGTACAGGATGTCCTGTAGAAGTTTTATACAAAATTCAACAAAAAAATAAAACATTCACATTTTCTTGTTTCTGAAGCATGTCATACAACCGCAGCGTCAAAGGTAAAAAACTACGGTAATATTTCTAAGAATCCATGAGTGAAAGCAAAAAAAGAAAATATGTTATAATTCATCTTCCATATCCTGTGCTGACGAGACCTTTCGTTCAATACCGAGGCTCGTCAGGCTGGCTGGGATACAATAGACATAGCATTAGTCTAGGCGCTATATATATTGTTATAAACTATATATTTAATATATTGTAATTTGTTTGTTAGTTAGAGAACGAATGACTTTCAGATCAAACAAGTTCTAAAATTTTCGGGAAATTTAGTGATCGAGAGATTCTGCGAAGTGTTTAGAAACGAGATTACAGTTATAAATGCGAGAATCGACTAGTAGTGAGGCAGTTAGTTCAGTTCCGTGAAATATTTAGTAAAACATCGAATAGTATGGTACAAGTCAATTTGTTTCGGTGAAATATATGGATCAGTGCTATTGACTGCGTGTATTCACTTATACGGTCGATTAGTCTTGAAGTTATACAAGTAAGTTTACTTTTACATTAGTACCTAGTACAGTTAGTGAGGTAATTCGGTTATATGTCATTAGTAAACTCAAGCCTACAACTGTATACAAGTCAAAGCAGCTTATAGAAACGTTAAGAAATAAATAAACTAATTTGTCATCTTTACATGGACTGAACTTCAAATTATTTTCGCCATATAATTTAAAAGAACCCGTTCAGCAAAAGAACGAAGTTAAAATAATATCAGTTTTCACGAACGACAACTGTTAGGGTGTGAATCAAGTTAAGAACGTGAATTGTAATTTTAATCAATTTTATTTAAGTGATTTACAAATCGATTTTTTAGGTGAGAATTAAGAACACAACATTATTTATTTTATTATAACACCATCTATTTATTTTACTTATTTTATTGTCTATACAGTTGAATTGCAGCTAAACACTTTGTATTTGATGGAACGTATAACTACCACGATATTTTATAGATATTTTTTGTTATTTAAATATCGAAAATTAACATCTCAGGTCTGATAGTTGTAAAATTTAAATGTTGTTAATAGTCCTGTCAACTCACAAGTTCACTGTGGTAAGTAAGATACTGTTACGACAGCGGAAGTTACGCGACGCTGGGAGCATGCGCACTGGAGTTTCTAGAAGGATCATGAATTTTTCCGGCAACTCTAGTCTGATCGAGATGCCCTCTTTTTAGTATATAAGCCCGGCAAATAAAGCCAGCGAGAAAGATAAAATTGCTGAGATAGGCAGATAGATTGAAGATAGAGATAATTGAGTCAAGTGAACAGTAGGCACCGTAAGTAAAGTGTGTGAATCACTGTGATTTATAGCGTGTGTTATAAAGGCTGTTAAGTTTAAAGTGACTGTGGAAATTAAGTGTATTACAAAGTTTGTAACGAGAAAGAATAAACTAGTTTTATTTAAGAAAGTACTTGTGTCGCTAAAGTTTCGTTGGAACGAAGTTACGGAAAATTAATTAACAAATGGAGACGTAGCAATATAATCCTGCGCATTTGGACTTCATCCGCTTATACCCAAAGTTCACCCAGAGAATATAAAAGTACAGCCAGCCTGTAACCAGTAGCCACCAGACACAGTAAATCAGTGCAGTACTGCAAAATAAGTAACACGTGGTGAGCGTGTACTTTTAATAGTTAATTTACCTTTAATCTCAAGTGAAAAATGCGACGCCGTGTTGTCACATTTTACACGTGACATTAGGGATACATTTTGCCATTACGTGGCAATTTCAATGAGAAGCGCATGCGCGAGTCCCAAGCAGGTCTTCGCGACTACGCCTCTCGCCAATCATATTTCTAAAAGTTGACAGCACCGTAAGCCTCATTTAACTTTTGATACGCTATAAAGAGAGGGCCGTGCATACTTTTTCAGTTATATATATATGTTTAATCCGTTTCTCGTTTATTTAACTAATTACCAAGACGACAACTTGTGAAAAAACTTTATTTTGTGTAAACACCGAGGTGGATAAATATGCCAATGGTCTAAGAACGTAGACAGTATACCAATGTCAAGATAAAACTCGTCTGTTATTACTCATTCGTTTGGCTGGTTTCTTGTAAAGAGGCGTATTCTTCTAAATCATTTGAAATGTTTGTTGTGGTAAAACTTGTAACTTATCTTATTACTTTAGACGTTCATTGTAAAGGAAGCTTTCATTTATAAATCATTCATATTGAATACAATAAATAACTGTATACCCGTCATTCAGCTCGTACATTTGTTTTTCTCCAACATGCGTCACGAGCTGAATCTCTAAAACGCTTTTCAAATATTTTAAAATCGTTCTAGATGTGAACGGCCGGTCGCCAGGACATAAAAAAAACACCTTTATATTAAGGAAGAGAGATAAGTAAAATAACAACTGATATGGACACAAATATGCACCTAAAACAACGAAAAAAAAACAACAACAAAAAACAAGCAAGCCTTCGAGACCAGTATATTCACGTGCCAAGAAAACCAGCTGTTTCTTGTAGAGCAGAGTGTGCAAGCTAGAAGCTTGAGATAGTTTAGTGTTTTTGTGAAGCCTAAAAACAGCGGTGATGAAGTGAGGAGAACGAGCAACACTCTTTCATTGGCTCGCTTAATACTTGTCCATCAGCACAGTTGTCAAAGTTACTCGTATAGCATCAATAGACATGATACATAGCAGAAGGAAGGACAATAATGAAGGTTTTACTAACTTTCAGAATACTGAAATGCGGGTCAGGCGTCAGTCTTTTCCAGGTGGGGAGGGGAGGGGGGTGCTTTTCCGTCAAGATGAAAAGATCACAGACGTGTTGGACACGCTGATTGGGGTAACTATACCCCTCCCCCATTAGATTTTACACTATATACGTAGATTGTAACTAATCCTTCACTTTGGATGTCACACTATATTCAGACGATAATACTACCAAGACAGATTCAGATGATATGTTTACCGAGTCAAGTTCAGACTATATGCTTACCGAGTCAGATTCAGGTGATACGTTTGCCGAGTCAGAGTCAGACGATATGTTTACCGAGTCAAGTTCAGACGATATGTTTACCGAGTCAGATTCAGACGATATGTTTACCGAGTCAGATTCAGTGATATGTTTACCGAGTCCAATTCAGACAACATGCTTACCGAGTCAGATTCAGACGATAAGTTTTACCGAGTCAGATTCAGGTTCAGTTGATTAAGTTTTACCAAATTAGTAACTCTTATCAAGTCGGAATCAGACATAAAGTTTTTACCTAAACAGATTTAAATGATGGTCGTATATTTTAATAATCCAGTGTAGACTGTACTTACAGATGTTACTAGACGTGATTTAAAATAATCCAAGTGTAGACGGTACTTACAGATGTTACTAGACGTGATTTAAAATAATCCAAGTGTAGACGGTACTTACAGATGTTACTAGACGTGATTTAAAAAATAATAACAGATCTTTCACGAATCCAAATTCAGACTATCAATCGATGTGTACACGTGCACCTAAGTATATGTGGCTCAACGGTAAGGTCGAGGGTTTCTAGCGCTAAAACTCTGGGTTTGATACCCGCGAGGGGGACATCGCCCATTGTGAAGCTTTGCGATTAAAAACAATCAAATTCACACGAACTTATAATATTTGATGAATACCAAAAATCACATATTATCCTATTTTAAATGATCGATTTTATCACGTATGTACCAGATTTTCCATTTATTCATACAGATATATCCTGCCATTTATAAATAGTAAGTTACTTCAAAGTTCCCCCTTTTCCGTTTCCGGTATTTAATTTTTTGTATTTTATTTTCGTAGTGAATTATTTTCGTCCAGCAAAGAGAAACGAATGTGCCAAACTCAACACAGACATCTTGCTACACCAAATACGGTTACAGTTTTAAATAATGTGCTACATTCTTGTGTCAAACTCAACGCAGACAACGTGCTACACCAAATACGGTTACAGTTTTAAATAATGTGCTACGTTCTTGTGTCAAACTCAACACAGACATCTTGCTACACCAAATACGGTTACAGTTTTAAATAATCTGCTACATTCTTGTGTCAAACTCAACACAGACAACGTACTACACCAAATATGGTTACAGTTTTAAATAATGTGCTACATTCTTGTGTCAAACTCAACACAAACAACGTGCTACACCAAATACGGTTACAGTTTTAAATAATGTGCTACATTCTCGTGTCAAACTCAACACAGACATCGTGCTACACCAAATACGGTTACAGTTTTAAATAATGTGCTACATTCTTGTGTCAAACTCAACACAGACATCTTGTTACACCAAATACGGTTATAGTTTTTAATAATGTGCTACATTCTCGTGTCAAATTCAACACAAACAACGTGCTACACCAAATACGGTTACAGTTTTAAATAATGTGCTACATTCTTGTGTCAAACTCAGCACAGACATCGTGCTACACCAAATACGGTTACAGTTTTAAATAATGTGCTACATTCTTGTGTCAAACTCAACACAGACATC